ACTAAAGTTTTGAGAAGCCTCCAACAAGAAACCTAACTATTATATTTCAATGCAAATGTTGAAATCTATTGAGGACTTCCAAATACTTTCTTTACAAACTTGAGACTATATTCTGTAAAAACATATGAACTCTAACTTGATCTGTTCTAAAGGTATGCTGGAATATGCACTTTGTAAGCAATTAAAAATAAAATCATCCTAAGCAGTAAAACCTTTCAATTTTCATAAAATATTGACATTGTATCACATCAGTTGAAGTTATGTGTTAGCTAAACAGTATTTAAATACTGTATATGACTTGAGAATACAGCTACAGGAAAAACTACACTACATACAATAACTACAGTATACAGTAAACAGTCCACCATAATATGAATTTGAAACATTGTGTATATTAACATTTTACCACAGTGAAAAGACCCTACTTATTCCTTTAGTTTCAGAATTACAAGAATATATATATATAATATATATAATATATATATATATATATATATGCAAGTAAATCACTGTAGGTGCGCGTGATCTAGGTATATGCTGATAACCACAAGGAAAGAAGAAAACACGAAGTTCCCAAGCACTTTCGTCTGTATTCACCCCTGAAGATGTGAATTACACGAAAGCGCTTGGGAACTTCGTGTTTTCTTCTTTCCTTGTGGTTATATATATATATATATATATATATATATATATATATATATATATATATATATATATATATATATATATATATATATATATATATATTCTTGTATATATATTTATATATATTAACACCTAGGTGCTGGCACCCATACTTGGTAATATGAACAATCTGATTCAAGATCACTCAACCAAAATATATGCAAATAAAACTAATCCATTATTTTATGTGGTGCACCTAGAAAGAATGGGTTCTCAGATGCAGTGGGGTAGAAGTTCTGCAGGAATTGTTTACTCTGGTTTTTGTTGCCAATTATTCCTACCTAAAGAGTTGTGGCGGTAATGACTAAATAGTCTTTGACAATATTAATATTCAGCGAGTTTACACGTCTACACTGCACCTGCCATATCAACTTCTTCTAACTTGCTATCTCTTTGTGTTTGAGGAGCCATTTTCCATAAATGACAAAATCTTCTAAAATGATAATTCACCACATCTTTGTATTTCTACTCCTGACGTCCTCACACAAGTGGTAAAAATTTATGTGAGTAAACTGAGTAAGGGTCTGCTACCAGAGATAATATGTTTCACAGAGGTCAGCCTGAACTGAAAAGACCAAGATTACTTTTGCTTTTAACAAACTGTAAGACTAAAGTAAACATATGGGCAGTGACAACATTCAAATATACACATAAAAGCCAATATACTTCAAAACAGAACAAGCACATTATTAACCCTTAAACTGAATGCTGCACTACAAATCTGTGGCTACCTCTGCTGTATTGAAATTTTTAGGTCTAAAAAATTATAAAATATTACCCAGTGACATCAAACCACATAGTTTGGATCACGGCACAAAAACGTAAAACAGCAATTGGCGGCAATATCAGTGAAGCGTGCATCATCAATTAAAAAAAATTATTTTAAGCAAATCTTAAAACTTTTAAAGCACAAATGTTTCACATGAAAGCATTAATTGATAGGCATATCTTTTTTCTTATACAGTATACAGTACCTACATATAAATCATACGAGGTATTCAATTTAGTCATAAAAAAGCAATCTAGATAAATATGTCAGTACTGTATGTATAACACCAAATACAAAGTACTGTATAAAGAACATCCCCAATCCCTGGCACACCACTTTTCCACTTTTCTCAGCTTAATTAACAGCCTCATATTCATACCTTGAATCACCAAATCATCCATATTTCTCTTATCTAAATCAGTGAAATATATTCATGTGTTTTCAGTTCCCACCCCCCCCAAAAAGAATTAAATTAATTAATAAAATAAATAAAAATGAGTAATCCTGTAACAAGGTGTAATTTGATAATGATATTAAAAGAAAAATACTGAGTAAAAATAAATAATAAGTGTAGCCTTACAACACAATGAGTCACAAAACTTTCCACATTAATGGTAATAGTTTTTTAATCAAGCTGCATGTAATGAAACTTTGGAAAAATGTTTATTAATTAGAACTTTTTTTTTAAGCTTTCAAGCAATTTCCTGCAGCATTGTAAGATCTCATTCATCCGCTCTTAATAATATTCATAGCAAATACTGTTTACCTCTTAAAAAGCTGTAGTATTGGATAAACTTAATTTGTAATGGTAGATTAATTTCTATATTAATCCGTCATTCACAACACAAATCACCACCCTAACTTTCCATATGGACAAAATAGCATAGTATGTTATTTTTCACTTATTTACAAGTACAATTGCCAGAACCCACCCCTGACAGTATTACCTTCACAACAGAGTATCTCCACTGAATTTGACACAAAGTTGTTTTTAGCAGAACGTGTTAGTAAACCTTCTGCCTAACCCAGTCTTCATACTTTAATGGTTCACATTTCACAAATATGTTAAAATTCAAGATTACAATACTGTATACAGCACACCATATATCTTTTGGATCTACTCATGTTAGTTTGAATTCTGATTTTCTATAAACAAAAAGTAAAAAAAGTCTTTACTAGAATTACAGAACCTAATCTAAGCTGCATCAAATTATATCTCTTTGGAAAAAAACATTTCCTTTTGAATTTCAGCAACTTGTTTAAACTTTTGAAACCATGATTGAGATCAGTTAAAGTTAAAAAGAAATCAAATACATTTCCCCAATCTTTGGTTTACAATCCATCAAGTCAACCAATAGATTGGAGACTAAAAAATTTTGAGACAAGTTTGGGGCAATGTCACATAGTATTAATTGATGAACCTCTGCTGACAGTTGAGGCGTGAGCCTCTAGCTGAAGTCACGGTTGACAAGGATGATGGGGGCAACCAAGGTCCACAGATACAGGCAAAGACAGATCCAGCTGGACACAATCTGCAGATAAAGAGAGCCTTCATAACTTTATAGTCCCTTTGATAAATGATTTTATAGACAGGCATCTTTTTCTTTTAGCGTTAAATCAGTTCAGCGATAGCCTGACTCACTGGGAAGCAAAAAAACTGGGGATGAGGTGACCTGTGAGATGGCATGATGCCATTGTTACATGTAATGAAACTATAAAAGTTGAGAAAAAATCATTACAATACTCTAATGTGGGTTAAAAATATAGACAATATAAAACTATAAAATGAGTAAAATGGGGAGCATGGGTGTATATGTGTGTGGAGCAAACATGTGTGTGGAGCAAACATATGTGTGGATCCATGAGGCAATGAGCTGTAACTGCAGCGCTGACATGCCACCCAGCCATGCTCCATCCCCCAATGTGACGTCACAGCACACACACAAAAACATCTCCGAGTCTGCTGGGTGACTGCCTGGCTTAACTCTCACATCACCCAGAGAATGGTTTGAGTGTGGATGAAGCTATTTTTTGCACATAAAATATATACTATTGTATATTATGATATGCTCTGTACCAATTTTATTGTTTATCAGAGCATTTAATTTGTAATTTTTGACGTATGCAATAATTTTTTTTTAATTATGCTCACAATTTGCTCATTAATCGTTCAACTCTGATTTATTTCATTTATATGGAAGTTTGGCTTTAATAAATCAATCATTTAACTTTGAAAATGTTTAACAAAATCATTTATTATTCTTATCATCACAAGGTACTCAGTGTTTAGCGGCCTGCAGTTTGAACCTGTTGTTCACCCTCCGTGATTTGCTGTTACAGTATCCCTTGCTTTGCAATAATTTCGCCTAATGTTGGGTTTTATAAGAACACAACCATATTGTTAAACGAGGGATAGCTATGCTGTAAAGTGCTGAAAATAAGATGCCACTCAAAACTGCACTTACCTTTACCATATGATTTTAAAGTTTGTCAATGTACTAAAAAAAAAAAAGCTTTGTTGCTATTCTCAAATCTTGGAGTACTGTATATTACAAAAATAAAAGAAAAGAATATCCATTACATTGTTTAGTATGGCCTGCTGAGACAAAGATTTTGTCTGTGACCAAGTAAACTAAATTTGGCTTATGCTATCAGTTGACTTGCTTGCTTGCTTGCTTTAGAAACTACCACCACACCAGTGCTAGGCCTTCATAACCCTGGATCAATCTGACAAATAGCTGTTACAGAATTTGCACAAATCTTGGGCCATGTCCTTTCCTCAGAATGGAGATACAGGGGTAATTACCTGAACAAGGAAAACTCTACCTGGGAGTGTTCCGATTGTCTTTTTTTGTACGTCACATGACAAATGACCTGTAAGCTATCAAATAAATAGGCCAGATATTCTATGGCTTACACATCATTAGAAATTAATCAGAGGTCAACAATATAAGAACTAAATTTTTTTTAATACAATAAGGGACAATCCCCTTCACTAGTGCATTTACAGGGGCTCATAAGGTTTTGTGCAGTGTGGCAGCACTATGTTCAAAATCGACGGAAGGAAACTCGCAATAGTAAACATACTATGGAATGAAAGTAAAACAATGTTAAAACAAATATCTCAATGTAATGATTTGTAGAATGTTTATATGATGAGCTCCTGTAAATGCACTAGTGAAGGGGAATGTACATGATGGCTCCAATAGTGTTAAGAGTCTTTGAAGACAAGTCTAAAAACATGGGAATCAGTATAGGATAAAGACAAGAAACATTTAATACATCCTGAAGGAGTCAGAATTAGTTTAAAATACTGCCCAAGACAAAACATGATGCAGAGCTCTTACCTTGACCCAGACAGCAGCCATGTTACTGGAGAGTGTGAGCAGGTCAGAATTAGGAGTAAACCAATTGGTAAGCGTCATCATGACATAAAGTGTGGCCAAGCCAAACATTGTGTGGAAGAAAGACCAGGAGTATGCCACGCCATCATCCTCGTTGTCCCACACATGATGTCCATCCCCAGACTCAGGGTCACCAGAGGCACCTGCAACAAATATATCACATTGATGATAAGGCTTGAGAGTGAGGAAGAAACAGATAGAGAGGAGACACAGAAAGACAGACAGAGTGGAGTCAGAGAGACACCATTTTTATATGTTTTAAAACCAAAATTACTCTTCTAGTATAAATAAGCATTCCTTTACTCTCTAAGAAAAAAAAAAACGATCCTATGGCAAAGTTCCTAGCTTACCATAATATCCAAAAAAATTAGCCAAAACAATGTATAGTCAGAAAATATAACATGCATTTGTCATCTAGCTGTATACAGTACTGTAGTTGCAAATCCCGAGAGAAAATGAATGCAGTACCGCAACCTGCTTGCACTGACACAGGTTATGAAAAATTCTTGGGTCTTGCACATTTTGTTGTGCATAAAACAACATTAACCTGTTTACAACCTTTCTTCTCCACTCCATATTGATTATTGCAGTCAATTCTTGGTTAGACTTTCAAAACATCTCATCATTCCTACTGCATCATTACACTCCTACTTCACCTTGCTCAATATGACTGAGTGAGATATGACTGCTGATTCATTATAGATCTCGTTGTCCTGTAGAAAAAATGTATTTAAAAAAATTTCATGATGTATTTCACAAGTTACTATAAAATGTAATTAACAGGGATGAGTGCCACAACCCATAGAGAAGTGCCCTCAGCAGTGTTGGAAAAAGAAATGACAAATGATTTCAACAAGACACTGATCTAAATCATGTCACAAATGTCTGTGAAATAGGAAGTACAGGAGGTCCCCGACTTACGAACATCCGGCGATACGAACGAGGTCTCATATAGTTAAATGTTTTTTAATTTTATGGGGATTAGCCCAGCCAGGCACATTAGACAACACATTATGCTTCTAATATCATCCCAGGCAGTATGTACCTCCCTGTTTGATAGCTGCCTACTACCTTTACCTGAGGACTTTTTTACTTTCATTTACTGTATTTTGTCATTCTATTTCTTCTTTTATCTTAAATTAAGTGATTTAAGATGTACATAAGGACTTAGGCTATGATATACTGGGATTCTAAATATTGTTCTGTAAGTACAATAGGCACATAGGGTATGCGTTTCGACTTAAGAACGTCTGTAGGAACGGAACTCGTACGTAACCCGGGGACTGCCTGTACTATACAGAAATCAAATACTTGTGGTAAAACATAAAAAATACCAATGAATAAGTTTAAGTTCTTATGCATCGTTGTTCAGTATTTAAGCTAGATATGGAAAAATGAAACTAAAATTAAGCTAGTACACTTGAATTTGTGTTAGTAAGACCAAACTTTACGTGTTGGCAGTAATTCCTTTCTTCATGCATTTTGAAGCATGCTCTTACAGGGATAAATTAAATTAATAGCAGATGCAGCTATACTGGACTTCAGATAATTTGATAAAACAAGAAATCAAATTACTTCACTGCCAAATTTGTCTGAATTAAAATTACTCTTTTTAAAAATTTTTGAGTCACAGCTGCTAATTTTAATCATTACAGTGACCCCTCGTTTAACGAACGCCTCGGTTAATGAACTGCCTTCCATAAGGATCTTCAATTCGGTTAACGAACAAAAATTCGGTTAACAAAATTCTTACGAACCGACCTCAACATGTTTTCGCTTGCACTGACCGGGCAACCAGTTTTAGTATCAGTCAGCCAATACAGTAATCGGTTTTAGGGCTTAATTCCTTACTATTTTACTAAATATCAAGAAGTTTATGCTATTCAATAATTTTAAAAGTTTAATATTAACTTTTTTAGTCATTTTAACAATTATTGAACATAATTGAAAGTAAAGAAACTAGTTTCTGGCGTGCCATCCAGCCTGTTAACACACCAGACAGGCGTTAGTCTCTCTCTGTTTTCAGTGGAGGTAACATCTTGCTTGAGACTTTCTTCAACTAAACGCTTTTTTTCTGTGTTTCCAAGGAAATTATTGGTCATTTTTAAATATATTTTATATATTGACAATATATAATGCAGTGCAGTGTTGATTTAAAGAAAATAATCTTGAAATACACCAAGAGAACTAAAATTTTATGGGTGAAATGGTGCCATGGGGTGACTTCTCTTCCACCCCAATGCCTTCTCTTCTTCCTTCTCCTCCACCCTCATTCTAATTCCCATCATCATCATCATCCAGGAGCCTTCTACATACACACCTCAAAGTAAGTGAACTTTTCTACCATTTTTGTTGAATTTAGGAAATTTTCGGTGAGCTGGAACCAATTACCCAAAAACCCATTGAAACAATGGTTTTGGTTAACGAACTTTTCGGTTAACGAACGACCTCCTGGAACGGATTGAGTTCGTTAACCGAGGGGTCACTGTATTTGTTATTATAAAAGGTTGAAGAGTTAAAAATGTATGTACAGTAACATCTCCATTTGCCGGAATGCCTCAAACCCAGACCTCTCCGATAGCCGGAATTGAAATTTGCTCGGAAAATCATTCCCAAAGCCAGAATTTAAAAAAAATTACGGCT